GCACAGGTACCAAAGTTGTAAAAATAGCCTGGAAGAAAATTAAAAAAATTATCAAAAGAAAGAAAAATTAATTTTATATGTATGGAACTACAATTGACTAAGTTCATTTTGATTGGTCAATTACCAGTGTGATACCTTGAAGGACCCTTGAAGTTGTCAGATTTTTTTCATTTTTGCACCTGAGATTTCTTAAATAACTGCCACCAACATCCTTAAGTTTGGTGATCTAATTCCCCTTATTGCTGGAGATATATGCATTTATCTCCCTTACTCCAGAGCAGTCAAGAATACATACAGAGCACTCTGACAGAAGTTTTTGTGTGCATATTTTGAAGCAGAATTTCATCATTAATAGACTAAGTCTGGCAAACAATTTCTTATCCGTGGAGAGTATATACATTGTTCTTCACAACAAACAAAAAATAGTTCACAAGTCTGAGACCATTATGCAATTATTACATAACAAAATTGCATTTTGCCCTCCTAAGAATGACAGAATTCACAGAAATTGTTAAATATTAGACTGATAATAAAATCTGCATCTGGTCAATTTATGTTCCAAATAAAGCCTAGGTACTTGTCTACAAGCTGATGTGCAGAAGTTTATCTAAAAGCTGTGTTGTAACACAGGGCAGTCCAAATGATATCAGCACCTAGGGAGAATCTGGACAGCTCTGACACTCCATTAAACTTGCTTTGATGATAAGAAAATGGAGGAAACAATTCAGATGTAATTTATTGTTTGGATTTATGTAACTGGCTTTCTCTGCAGACACAAATTAGCCATGAAATTCCAATTGAACATGCATAATTATCCTCTTTTCATTGAATTACTCAGGAATTCCAAAGGTGTTTGATGAATTTGCATGATTAATTCAAGATTACAGCTTTTGGTTTCACCAAATTTACATAAAAATTCAACATTTAAATTTCAAAATATAAATCTTAAACATTTTTATGAGTTTTAACACTTTCAAATGTGAAAAAATGCAACAAAAAGACTAATATCAGGCCATCCTACATGGTTCTTGGGGGTGGGTGGGTGTACAAAAACTGCTGATAAAATTTATAGGAAGTGACATAAGAAAAACAGGGCACTTTATTAGCTGAATTATGGTTATTCTGATATTTTGATTGTGTAAATGTATCAAATTTCTTCATCACTTTAATTTGTAATTTATTAATATTTCAGTATATTAATATGCTTAACAAATCATGCTGAAATAAGCATCCTGACTGAGACTTAATTTAAAAGAGAGAGTCAAAACCTACATAAAAGTGCTAACATGACAAAACACATTCTCCGACAAACTGAAAAATCATGGATGTCAGCTGCGTAAGCATGCAAAAAGTCCAGAGAACCATAACAGGCATACCATGGTGCTAAGTGACATTCTGTACTACATGTGTGCTACATGATTAGAACTCTGAATAAGTATTCACTCTCATGCCCTGACAGTATTTATGCATTTTTTGGTCATAAGCTTCTTATTTTTGAAAAATTCTAAATAAATTTTACTTGTGCATTATTTTTATTAGACAAATTTACCTCATTTCATTATTTATATTCCTCCACTGCAGTAATACATGCATTACTTCAGGTGAATAAAATGAAAGTAAATCCACTCTCTGTAAAATTTATCACTCTGTGAAAAAATGTTTTACTTCTTCACATTTTATCGCAGTTGTCACTTTTGTTGAAAACTCATTCGCAATCCCAGAATTAGTCTTTTCTTGAAAAAATCAGCCTAAAGTACTTTTACGGCAAAGTCTGTAGACACTATAATTGACTGCGGTCAGGTGGTGCACATAGTTTAAAGTCATCTAAAATAAAAAAACAACATTTTCTAACTTCTTTCTACATGTCAGATGCATAATCCTACTTTGAAAGTCATAATTTAAAGTTTTGAGGGTAAAACATGATATATTATAAGTATTTTTCACAGAAATCTCTAAAAATTCAATTCAACTCTACTTCTAATTTTTAAAATATGTGCTTTCACACAGAAAGTTCATAAAATGACATATTTTGTTGAAATATGCCTTTTAAAAATTAAAACAGCCTTTTATATTGATGCAGATGATTTTACACAATCACCTTCAAGGTATCACACCGGTAATTGTTTTCACTATATGTTTCTATATAGGAAAAAAAATCTTAAAAAATCAGGTAAATTAATTCATGAAAAAATATTTAGCAGGAAGTATAAAACATTACCTCTCTCATTAGCCGAGTCCAAAAAACAGGGTACCTACACGGCATTTTCTGATTTTTTCCATCTGCAAACAGGGCTACCCTCAAATCCACGTGTTTTCAATGTGTTTATAAACAGCTCCAGTGCACCCCAGGAAGTAGCCTCCTATGCCCTGAAAAAAATAGTTCCTGTCAAAAAACTTTATTTATTTACAAAGTACATTAAATTTAATAGGCACAGGTACCAAAGTTGTAAAAATAGCCTGGAAGAAAATTAAAAAAATTATCAAAAGAAAGAAAAATTAATTTTATATGTATGGAACTACAATTGACTAAGTTCATTTTGATTGGTCAATTACCAGTGTGATACCTTGAAGGACCCTTGAAGTTGTCAGATTTTTTTCATTTTTGCACCTGAGATTTCTTAAATAACTGCCACCAACATCCTTAAGTTTGGTGATCTAATTCCCCTTATTGCTGGAGATATATGCATTTATCTCCCTTACTCCAGAGCAGTCAAGAATACATACAGAGCACTCTGACAGAAGTTTTTGTGTGCATATTTTGAAGCAGAATTTCATCATTAATAGACTAAGTCTGGCAAACAATTTCTTATCCGTGGAGAGTATATACATTGTTCTTCACAACAAACAAAAAATAGTTCACAAGTCTGAGACCATTATGCAATTATTACATAACAAAATTGCATTTTGCCCTCCTAAGAATGACAGAATTCACAGAAATTGTTAAATATTAGACTGATAATAAAATCTGCATCTGGTCAATTTATGTTCCAAATAAAGCCTAGGTACTTGTCTACAAGCTGATGTGCAGAAGTTTATCTAAAAGCTGTGTTGTAACACAGGGCAGTCCAAATGATATCAGCACCTAGGGAGAATCTGGACAGCTCTGACACTCCATTAAACTTGCTTTGATGATAAGAAAATGGAGGAAACAATTCAGATGTAATTTATTGTTTGGATTTATGTAACTGGCTTTCTCTGCAGACACAAATTAGCCATGAAATTCCAATTGAACATGCATAATTATCCTCTTTTCATTGAATTACTCAGGAATTCCAAAGGTGTTTGATGAATTTGCATGATTAATTCAAGATTACAGCTTTTGGTTTCACCAAATTTACATAAAAATTCAACATTTAAATTTCAAAATATAAATCTTAAACATTTTTATGAGTTTTAACACTTTCAAATGTGAAAAAATGCAACAAAAAGACTAATATCAGGCCATCCTACATGGTTCTTGGGGGTGGGTGGGTGTACAAAAACTGCTGATAAAATTTATAGGAAGTGACATAAGAAAAACAGGGCACTTTATTAGCTGAATTATGGTTATTCTGATATTTTGATTGTGTAAATGTATCAAATTTCTTCATCACTTTAATTTGTAATTTATTAATATTTCAGTATATTAATATGCTTAACAAATCATGCTGAAATAAGCATCCTGACTGAGACTTAATTTAAAAGAGAGAGTCAAAACCTACATAAAAGTGCTAACATGACAAAACACATTCTCCGACAAACTGAAAAATCATGGATGTCAGCTGCGTAAGCATGCAAAAAGTCCAGAGAACCATAACAGGCATACCATGGTGCTAAGTGACATTCTGTACTACATGTGTGCTACATGATTAGAACTCTGAATAAGTATTCACTCTCATGCCCTGACAGTATTTATGCATTTTTTGGTCATAAGCTTCTTATTTTTGAAAAATTCTAAATAAATTTTACTTGTGCATTATTTTTATTAGACAAATTTACCTCATTTCATTATTTATATTCCTCCACTGCAGTAATACATGCATTACTTCAGGTGAATAAAATGAAAGTAAATCCACTCTCTGTAAAATTTATCACTCTGTGAAAAAATGTTTTACTTCTTCACATTTTATCGCAGTTGTCACTTTTGTTGAAAACTCATTCGCAATCCCAGAATTAGTCTTTTCTTGAAAAAATCAGCCTAAAGTACTTTTACGGCAAAGTCTGTAGACACTATAATTGACTGCGGTCAGGTGGTGCACATAGTTTAAAGTCATCTAAAATAAAAAAACAACATTTTCTAACTTCTTTCTACATGTCAGATGCATAATCCTACTTTGAAAGTCATAATTTAAAGTTTTGAGGGTAAAACATGATATATTATAAGTATTTTTCACAGAAATCTCTAAAAATTCAATTCAACTCTACTTCTAATTTTTAAAATATGTGCTTTCACACAGAAAGTTCATAAAATGACATATTTTGTTGAAATATGCCTTTTAAAAATTAAAACAGCCTTTTATATTGATGCAGATGATTTTACACAATCACCTTCAAGGTATCACACCGGTAATTGTTTTCACTATATGTTTCTATATAGGAAAAAAAATCTTAAAAAATCAGGTAAATTAATTCATGAAAAAATATTTAGCAGGAAGTATAAAACATTACCTCTCTCATTAGCCGAGTCCAAAAAACAGGGTACCTACACGGCATTTTCTGATTTTTTCCATCTGCAAACAGGGCTACCCTCAAATCCACGTGTTTTCAATGTGTTTATAAACAGCTCCAGTGCACCCCAGGAAGTAGCCTCCTATGCCCTGAAAAAAATAGTTCCTGTCAAAAAACTTTATTTATTTACAAAGTACATTAAATTTAATAGGCACAGGTACCAAAGTTGTAAAAATAGCCTGGAAGAAAATTAAAAAAATTATCAAAAGAAAGAAAAATTAATTTTATATGTATGGAACTACAATTGACTAAGTTCATTTTGATTGGTCAATTACCAGTGTGATACCTTGAAGATATCTTCTTGTTTATAACGAACCCCAAGTTTATCAACAAAATGAGAATCCCAGTCACTTGTCGATTTAGGAAAATGCTCTATATCAGTTGAGCTTGGAGAAATAGTTTTTGAATTATCAAAGTCGTCCGAACATCCAGAAGAAGTTTCTACCTCACTGCATCCTATATTCTCGTCCATCTTGAATCACATTAGAGAAGGAAGTGGTTATTGTGGTATTACTAAATCACGCGTGCATGGAAAAATACACCTACCTTGATAATCTGCTGTATTATCGCTGATTATTTATTTCATTGACATATTCATTAAAATATTCATTAAAAAATACTATGTTTTGATGTTTTAAGTAAAATTACCTTCTTTTAACGTTTCTTAAAATCTAAGACAGAAAAAAACAAGCTTTTTAAAACTTACTATAGTTTTTGTTGAGTTTTAGGGGGAAGGTATAATCAGATAATGTCCTGATAGTATTGTCATAATTTAGAGTTTCACTAATTCGATTTATTTGTGTTATCTTTAAATCATGCATACTGAGCATTTATGAGTCATTCTCTGTAAGCATCAAAGAATATGGGAAAAGATGGGAAATGACATGTCACAGATTTTGATGATATGCTGTGTATAGTACACAAATGACATGTATTGAACATAACTGATATCATTATTTCAATCTGACCTCTGGTTACCATGGCAACCAATCATGTCCCAATGATGCCCTGGTTATACAGAAATCTGACAATTTTTCAAAGAAATCAATCCAAGTTTATCAATATTTTTTTCACATTTCTAATAATAATCAGCAAGTTAGAGTCCATCACAAGATAAGGTAAAATCAAAAGTTTAAAACCTACAAAATATTTTTTGGGGAAATATTATATTTATCTAACAACAGTGTTTTCAAACACAAGAATTTTCTTAATTTTGCAATTTATCAAAATTTGTCATTTTGGGGCATTTTCAAAGCCTCATTTCAAGGAAATGCAAGTGATTTAGCTAAATTAGATAAATTAGGGAGAAAGATCTTTTAATTGTCAACAATATATAAAAAATCCAAGGAGGTATTATTTTTCTAACTAAAATAAATTGAAAATGAAATTGGTTGCTATGGTGATAGACCTTTTTTCCTTGCGAAATTGTATTGTTTTCAATTTTCCTTAGCTTTCCTAAAAATACTTATACACCTGTCCAGAGAAAAGGTGTTCATTATGTTCTAATTATCATTGACATACTACTTTAAACAGAAGTTAAAGAAATAATTATATGTTTATTATAGAACGTTTCTATGGTAACAGAAGACATTCACACAGTTTTTTAAAGAAATCAAATGTTTATTATCATTTTTTCTGTATTTCTGATAATACAAGAGAAGTTAAAATCCATCACAAGATAAGGAAACATTAAAAGATTGAAACCTACACAACATGTTTTTGGAAATATATATAACTTCAAATATTTTAGCAGTCCTAATTTCAAATATAAGAATTTTCTTGATTTTACAATTTATCAACATTTGTTATTTTGGGACATTTTCAAAGCCTCATATCAAATAATCGCTGATAATTTGGCTAAATTAGATAAATCAGAAAGAAAGATCTTTCAATTGTCAACAATATATAAAAAAAAATTCAAGGAGGTATTATTTTTCTGGCTAAATAAATTGAAAATAAAATTGGTTGCTATGGTGATTTGTTTTTTTTTTTCAATGTAAAATGGGATTGTATTTATTTAAGAAATAAACAACAATGTTAAAAAGTTCTCTGGGAAATGAACTTGGTTGGTCACGTGATCAAATCCTGTGAAGCCCGAAGGGCTTCTCAGAAGATTTGATCACGTACCAACCAAGTTCATTTCCCAGTGAACTTTTTAACATTGTTGTTTATTACTTTTATTTACATTTGAGATGAATATTCTGAATAGGACTGCATTTATTACACGAACGGCCCGCCGTATTGCTATGTTGTGACGCGCAATGACCTAGAAGTTGTTTGGTCTTGAGAGTTCGCCTCGCTCCAACATTTGAATACTTACATTGATGTTTAGCAGTCCAGTTCAGGAAATATCTGTTCATAATGAAAAAACAATGATCGCTACTGGGAATTATCTTACTATTATTGTACGAGTTCTTTATATATAAAGTCAAAAGCGGTGCTATCGTCTTCAGTTTACATACCTTCAAAGGAATTTCGGGTTAAAGAGGTAAGCGTGATTTTAGGCTAATTAGAAACATTCTTCACACCGAAGAAAGATCTAACGATCATTTGTTGAACGAAAAAAAAATATATGTTTCAATAATTTTATCTTTTTCATCGCTTTGACGGTTCAGAAGTTCCGAAACCAGTGTCACTGTGACAGAAATATGTAGACAAGATATCGTCTCGCTGTGTGATTCGGTCACGCCATGACCTCTGACCCCCTAATAAGTTCATACAGAATTGAACATATTTTCTCTTCTATAGGTTCATCTAAGAAAAATATTTGCAAATGTAAATAATTATCATTAACTTTCCTTATAATACATATATACACTATGAAAAAGGTGTTCATATTATTCCGATTATCATTGATATACTACTATAAAAGGATTTTTAGAAATATATTTATGTATACATGTGTGTGTTTTTAAGCCCCTGTATCTAAAAGAGCATATACTCGGGGGTATAAAGTTCGTCCGTCCGTCTGTCTATTTGTCTGCAAAAACTTTTATCATTGCTCATAACTTTTGATTTGTTGGAGCTATGGCTTTCATATTTCAAATGTGTATTCCTTGTGACAAGACCTTTTTTTGGGTACCAACATATTTCACCTTTTGACCTTGGAGTTTGACCCAGTTTTACAAAATTTTACCCAACTTTAACCTTGGCCATAACTTTGGAACAGTTGATGCTAAGGCTTTCATACCTCACATGTGTAATCCTTGTGACAAGACCTTACTTTAAATACCAACAATTATAGTCCATTGACCTTGACGTTTGAACTACTTTTGGAAATCTTTAACCTTGGCCATTACTGTGGAACAGTTGGTGCTAGGGCTTTCATACTTCACATACTGTAATTCTTGTGACAAGACCTTACTTTGGATACCAACAACTTTGACCCTTTGACTTTAACCTTGGAGTTTGAACTAGTTTTGAAAACTTTAAACTTAGCCATATCTTTTGAAGGGTTGGTGCCAGGACTTTCATATTTCTCATGTGTATTTCTTGTGACAAGGTCTTTCCTTGAGCACTATTAATATTGACCATTTGACCTTGATGTTTGACTTACTTTTGAAAAACTTTAGCCTTTTTTCCATATCTTTTCAATGGCTTTTGCTAGGGCTTTCATATTTCACAGGTATATTCCTCTGGACAAAGACCTTGCTTTGGGTACCAACATCTGTGATTTGCATTCGAGAAAGTTTAACCTTCGTTATAAGTTGCCATACGGGGCATCAGTGTTTCACAAACACATCTTGTTTTATTATATTATGTTACTATGGTAACAGAAGTGTTAGGAAGAAGCTATTATCAATTGGTTAAGAAATTATTCAAGGTTGAAAACTATAAACACTTTTTTAAAGCAGTATTCAAAATTTATATGACATTCAAAATATGACAAGACATTTAAAAACACACATTATAATTTTTTTCATTTCCATAGAAACAGGTATAAATTCAAGTATATGTATGACCTTTATTTTTTTGTTGTATTTTTTTTTTTGACAATGTACTCACAGGTAATGGCGATAAAACAACTTTTAATTGTTGAAACAATTTTGACTATGCAATAGATCTGATTAGCCTTTTTTTAAAAAAAAATTCTTAGTGAATCTACATTTATATTTACATCTAATACTATCATTTTAATGCAGTTTTTTCCCAAATAAAGTCCTACTTAATCATTGCTAAATTCCTTGAATGCCATACTGTATATATGTTGATCTGTAGCATCTTATGATATTCAACTGATAATACACCACAAACTTTAATTGTAAGGACATTCAGACCAAAGCAAAAATGATACTATATTTAAACTCAAGCCACTCTCTGGGACATGAATGCCTAGAAAACTTTTGCTATAGACTTATGTACAACTGCACATTTTTTTAACTTATAAATATAAGATTATAATAGCCAATGTCAACATTTAACTATACAGAACTCTAAAATGTAACAAAAGTGAGGTCACAGTCAAAGGTGTTAAAAAAAAAACCAAACAACCAAAAAATTAGATGCAGGTGAATAGCTCTCATCAAAATGTATCATCATATGAATTTTGATAAAAATATCTTCAATAGTTTCTTTGAATTTTAGCTAAATGCAAAGTGTGATGGACAGGGGGGAAGGCTGGAAGATGAACATGACAAACACTATATGACCTGACTGTATTCATAACATGTCATATCAAAGAATTCTGTCCTACCCATATAAATTACATATCCAGCTTAAAAAAAATGAATATCCTCTACACATGCAAAATATATGTGCAAAAATATACATTGAATGCTACCGACACTGCAATATGCAAAGAATACTAAAATGAAAGTTAAAGTATTGCATGGATGCTGTCAAATAAAGACTCATTGATTGCAGACTGAGACTTCTTGCACATCCTTGAAAAAAATCCAGCAATTTGCTGTGCTGACAAGAGTTCTTCTAATGCAAATACTCTTTCTCCATCTTCATTTTTCAACATTCGCATTTCTTCAGAAACTGAGACAGGATCTTCTTTTCTTCCAGACTTTAAACCTGCCTTGAATTTGTCCTCAAGATAAGATTTCTGCTTCTTAGTGAATCGAACACACTTTCTTTCTTCTTTTAGCCCCCATCCTTTTTTCAAAATACTGTCATCAGTACTTTCTTTACTAATACAGGAAAGTGTATATTGTTCTCTGTTCTCTTTCTGCAGTATCTTGGCATACTTCTGAATTACTAAGTCATTACTCCTTTCCTTTTCTAACTTTAAGTCACAGCTGCCAACAATAAGATGGTGATCATGTTCCTCAGATGTGCTGAAAGTTGAAACTCAACCTTCCTGGGTACATGTGAACATGTGTTGTTCCTCCTTGCTTAAAGGTTTCAGAACTGTGTGAAAGTGAACTTCAGCACTATCTCCTTCCAATATTTTCAATGATGTTGGCTGGATGTTACTCAAATTTTTCCCAAGAATGGACATACCTATATTTCAAAAGATAAAATTCACTACTGAATGACAGTATTAACTTGCTTTTAATAGTACACTTGTCCAAACTTCTAATATTTCTCTAACAATGAGGCCCATGGGCCACAAAACTCACCTGCGTAACAAGTGGCCATTCTTGTTTTTCATCAGCAAAGTCTTTTTCCTCTATACTCCTTAGTAAAACTTAGATAACCCATTGAAGCCCCATTTTACCCTACACTACCTGAGGATGCTTGCATATAAATGCCTTATCATGGCACTCATGTTCTTGAAAAGAGATTTTTTATAGAAATTTCTTTATATTCCTATGTAAAACATCTATCCCCATTGTGACCCACCCTTTCCCCAAGGGCATGATTTCAACATACTTAAATATACACTACTTAAGGATGAATCCATGTAAATATGAATTACTGTATACAGGGTTATTTTTGTCCCATTTATTTTCGCTCTTTTACACTTGCAAAAAATTTTGCCCCCTTGCTGTTCTTGAGAGGAAGATTTTTAAAGATTGTTCCTATATATATACCCATGTAAAACTTTGATTGCCCATTGTGAGAAAAAATGTCCCCACCCAATTTTTACTTTTTCTCAATTATCAACCCATGGAAGAGGGTGTGGCCCTTCATTTGAACAAACTTAAATTCACTTTACAGTGTTCTAAAGGATACTCTGTGCCAAGTTTGGTTGAAAAAGGCCCAGTGGTTCTGGAGAAGAAGATGAAATTGTAAAAAGTTATAAATGATGACAATAACGACAACAATGACAAACAACGGACAAATTTTGATTAGAAAAACTCACTTGAACCGTCGGCTCTGGTGAGCTAAAAATGATTATGAAATTGGCATAGTTTAATAAAAGAAAACCTTACCATCTCCAATGCCATACTCTCTCCATACTTGTACTCCCTCCTCAAGGAACTTGAAATTGTTCAATGTGGAAATGCTCGGGATTGGTCTGAACTTCTGTCGCTCTGTAGTTTCCAGTTCAACCACTTTCACCTTATATTGTACATTCTTACTGGTTTTCTCTATTGCCTTAAGTATCAAACAAATGCATAATATTTGATAATTAAGAATTGTTTTTACAGAAAGAGAATTTCCAAAATAGCTTAAATTATGTGTTCTTAAACTTGTGTCCTAGCTACATGTTCAAGTATACCTGCTTCATTTGCCGTGCAGTCACTACGTCATGACCTTCATTGACAAATCTTCATTGTTTGCTTTAATTACAGCAGCTGTTCTGTCGCATGCTCCCTTGCCATCTTGTGCCTCACAAAAATCAAATGAATGGACAGTCTTACAGTGATGGTAGATTGTTGATACTGTTTCAGAACTCTTATAACATCCTGCATTATCAGACCATAGATGGATGGTGGTGATATTTGGATACTGTCGATGGAGATTGTGTACCACATCTAAAATTATTGCTGTTGTAACACTGGCATCTTGGCAGATTTGTCCTTCAAATATATGCACATAGTTCAAAGCTTTCAAAATGTCCTCACTTTTAGTAAATACTACTGCTATATGCCAAGATATCCCTCTCTTCCCAAACCAATCCTGGCTGTCCTCTCTGTACTTGTGGGGAAGAAATTTCATTGCCCAGTCCAAGACAATACAAGCATTAGAAATTGATAACGTCCTCAATACCTCCTGTTTTGCCTCTTCTTGATTTTTTGATCTCAAAAGATGAGATTTCCAACAGGAAATACCTAGTTCAGCATACTTAAGTCGAAATATGGTGTCATCTTTGTCTTCCCTTGCACTGAAATCAAAATTATTTCCCAGTTGTTTGACATCACCTAGAACTTCTTTAATCTGTTCGCAGGCCTCACAAAAATGGTTGTGATTGTGATTGCATTGTATAGAAAACAGTTTAGAGTTGTCACTAAGAGCATAACTGCGGCAGTGATCTGCAACATCTGATGTTTCTGCCACATGAATCTGAAATACATATATAAATATAAATTAGATAAATGAGATGGGGGATATGAGGGATGTTCCATATTTCAACTTTTCTCACAGTATTGCCTTTAAATTGAAAAGAACTATAATTAGACAAGGTCTTTAAAATGGAAGATGTTGATTATGAGAACTAAATTTTTTTAGAAATTATTATGCATGGCATCAGATATTTTACGACACCTTGTAATCAGTTTTTAGATATCTTTTGACAGCAAGTAAAACATCTTTTAAGTGCTTTGCACTCTCCTCATCTTTTTCCAATTTGTTGACAATGTCAATAAGAACTTAAAAGCTTCTCCCACCTTCAGCAAGATAATAGTCTAGACCTTCTAGAGATTTGCGAATGGTTGCAGTGCAGTTTTGCAGAATTCTAAACATTGTACTTGTTCCTAGAATATAAAGTGAAAAATTCAATGATAATATTCATAAAAAAAAATTGTGTGTTATTCATATAACTATAAACCTGATCAAAGGATACCTCAGGCTCTCCAGTTTACACAAGATTTTTTTAAACCATTTCAAGTCTAATACATATGGTTCTGTTCTGTTCAAGAAATGTTAAAGGCTCATGTTTAGCATAAAAGGCATTTTTAACTAAAAACTTTCTGAAAACCTCAATTTAAGATCATTTGATGAGTGTCAAGGTCAAAAACTTAATGTAGTGTTATACACTGTACATGTATAATTGTCTGTTCAATAAATTTGTTATGCAGAAATAGCTTAAATTTTGCACAGGGTGCAATATTTTGACACACAATGATTAATAATTTTCAAAATAATTAAGTGTATAAATCAAATATTGAAAAATATCTGATACATAGACAGACAATGGAAAAAGTTTGATAGTCCTGGTCCAGGTAAATTAAGAATGTATCTTATATTAAATCTATGTTCTTAGTGCATGTAACTTGGTTATTACTTTTACATACTGACCAAGTGCCTCTATTTCTTGCTCTTTGCAATACTGATGGTACTGACTGATAATTGCTTGTGGTGCCATGCACCTAATAATGTTTGGTGTCTCTATATTGTCTTTCCCTTTGAAGTTTGAATTTTCTTCTGTCCAAATGGAAGATCTTTCACTATGTGAGAAGATGTAATGAATTCAAGAAAGTTATCCAATTTAGCTTGGTCCATACGCTGACGAATGTCTTCTTTTTCTGGTGGTGGTAGGCAACACCCCTCCAAGCTGGCATGTTTTTTGGCCGCATAATATCTGAAGAAAATTGTGAAATTATTCTTCATTCAATGTAAAATTTTCTTGAGGAAAAATGACTATTAAACACAGTCATTTTCTACATGTGAAATATCAAAATTGACTATCATACAAATTTTCATCGAAAAAATCATCGATCTAAATAAGTGATCATGAAAAAAAATTAAATGTACATTGCACAGTATAAATGTGCATTATGCCAATTCGTAAATTGGAGGAAAAAAACACATTTTTTTTAACTACTATGTACGGAAGCCCGTTGGGGCCAATTCAGAGAAAGAAATATTTTTTATTGCGTTTAAACGCAATAATTATTGCGTTTAATCGCAAAACATTGCGATTAATTGCAATAATCATTGCGTTTAAACGCAAAAGATTGCGTTTAATCGCAATGTATATTGCGTTAAAACGCAAAACACTTTGCGTTTAAACGCAAAAGATTGCGATTAAACGCAATCTTTTGCGTTTAAACGCAATACTTTTGCGATTAAACGCAATACTTTTGCGTTTAAACGCAATACTTTTGCGATTAAACGCAATAAATTTTGCGTTTAAACGCAATAATCTTTGCGTTCAAAGGCAATAATCTTTGTGTTTAAAGGCAGTCATTTGTATCAAACCTTGCAGAGTACAATGGACCCACGCATACCTATATCTTTTATTTCTTTCTCTTTTTACTTATTAGGAAATTGTGTGTTGTCTTTATAGAATCAGATTTCTCCGAGCAAACACTCTCTGAAAGGTAAATCACTAATAAGAATTTATAGAGGAGAAAAAAAAATGTCGGGTTGTAAAAACAAAGGAATCCTAAGAACGAGACATGTCTTAAGCTTATTCTCTACATTTATAATGAAGTTTCGGTCAGTTGTTCTGCTAAAAAAAAAAACTGCCCCATACGTTGCAGTCACAAGTTTAAATCATGTATAAAGGGATTTTTGGAAAGGACTGAGGAAATGTTGGAATTACGTACAACACGATGAAGTATTTAGACTTCAATGTACATTCATAACCCTTCCTATGGTTGCATACAGTAAACACAAGAACACATGTGATGGATTTATATGAGGTTAAAATCAAAATCAAATGAAAACAGATTGATCGATGTGCACTACATGTATCAAATTGACACGTGCTATTAATACCACTGAAACTTTCTCTATAAGTTGTGATACACGTAAGCAATTGAACAGAGACTTCATTAAGAGTTTTGGGTTCTAATACATTTAAGACATTCAGGTTGTTAGGATGCCATTGTTTTATTACAATTTTCAAAAACTGGAAAATTTTGCAAAAAGACACAGAACAAATCGGATCTTCTTAAAGTTGAAGTGTCGGGTCCTAGCACATGTAATTATAAGCTTTGTCTAATTCATATTTGATTTTGAAACTACAGTATCATTGTGTTTAAATGCAAAACAAATCCTTATAAGGAAGGATTATTGCGTTTAAACGCAAAGATTATTGCGTTTAATCGCAATACTATTGCGTTTAATCGCAATACCATTGCGTTTAATCGGAAAAGTATTGCGTTTAATCGCAAAAAGTATTGCGTTTAATCGCAAAAATTATTGCGTTTAAACGCAAAAATTATTGCGTTTAAACGCAAAAAGTATTGCGTTTAATCGCAAAAGTATTGCGTTTAAACGCAAAAGATTGCGTTTAATCGCAATCTTTTGCGTTTAAACGCAAAGTGTTTTGCGTTTAAACGCAATATACATTGCTATTAATCGCAATCTTTTGCGTTTAAACGCAATAATTATTGCGATTAAACGCAATGTTTTGCGTTTAAATGCAATAATTATTGCGTTTAAACGCAATAAAAAATATTTCTTTCTCTGAACTGGCCTCAACGGGCTTCCGTAACTATGATATACATGTATTATTTTTTTAGTTTATCTTTTACCAAAATTTAATAAATAACTTGATTTAAATACATGTATATAGAGAAAGATTATTTTGTCAATTCTAATTATCCTACATGTAGGCCTTGCATTGTATGTTTTTGAAGTTTTGTAACTACTTGCAAGTCATTAAAAAAAAAAAAAAAAAAAAAAAAGAAGAACGCAAAAATGCTTATCACTTTCCTTCGCGTCGATATATATAATTATACAGGTTTACATGTTCACGAACCTCTTACATGTACTACTTGTAATTTTCGAAATACTTTGTATGGATATAAAAAAAATACTAGACGGGTACGTTTTGTACTTGTGCATGAAAAGTACACGTAATTCCAACATTAGTAAATTGAACTTGCAAAGATACCTTAATACGAAAACAAACGAGGGCCGTTCAAAAATTACGCGGACTCTGCTATTATTTACTCTTACAGACGTCATATAGAATTGAAATTTCACAGGAACATATTTCTTAAAGATTCCAATAAATTCTTGGTATTTTTTTTTTAAATTTCATTTAATATCTCATAAAATTATTGCTGTTTTGATACTGCTGATGGTGATATACGGAGCACGGCAATAATGTTGAAAAACAAACATGCGGTATCAAAAATTTTATTCATTTATTTTCTATATTTTACGATATTATTCAACAATTTTCTCTAAAATTTCTTTTTTATTGTTGCATTATTAAGAATCTAGATTTCTGACGTAATATTTGAAGTACTAACCGAAATATTGTAATTTTTCTCCGATGTGACCCCTACGAAATCAACGCCAAAAGTAACGTCTCACGGAGCAGCGCACTTTATCAAATCATGAATCATGCTTGGAAAACGGCCAACAGAGACCCAAAATAAGCCTGATGAAACATGTAGTAAACCAGCAGAATGCCCGACACATCTCTACAAAATGTAAGAAAAAATTTTAGACTGTTAGACCTTAGTCAAAAGGCAATTCTGGAAATATGGATGAAATTCATTGACAAAACACTGATCTGGGCTGTTAAGAATGTGACTGAGATCGACTGACCTCAAAGATGATTTCAGAAATATCTGCAGTTTTGGGGTTTAACACAAACTAGAGCACACAATACTAGTTTTATAGTATTTAAGCTGGATGAGAAATGGTATATGGATGTTTATTCTGAGTGGATAAGGTAACCCAATCTATACAGTATCAAATACTAAAGTAAAATATTGAGAAAATGAAAGCTCCCATTTTGTAAAATGTCCGTGACGTTGATTGCTTTACTGCGCCGTGACTTCATGATATGTCCTGTTAAATCACCTGAAATTGATACCAATTTACAATATTTTGATATGAAATTTTAATGACCATATATGTAAAGATTCTTTTATATTATTTGTGACTTTTTGCTTGATTATGTCGGCAAATATATTTTCTGTGCAACAAGTCCGCGTAATTTTTGAACGGCCCTCGTACATATATTTTTTCATTACATAGGTACCTGTATTTGAACTTTGTAATTGTCATAATTATTTAAATGTAACACTTTAATAATTATAGTTTCAAAGTGAAGCCAAGGTCATCACGTGTCAATAATCATCCACCTGTTTCAGAAAGAATCTGTACTGTTCAATGATGAGTAATGATATAGACAGTAACAACATTGGCATTTTCTATCATGATCACATATATTTGTGATATGAGCAGCCGTACATGTTGTTTTCCAACGAGATACTTACTTTTCCATTTACTTTAGTCCTATCTAAATAAAAGTAAATATAGTATTCAATAAGATATAGCAAAAAAAAAAAAAAAAAAAAAAAAAAAAAAAAAAAAGAGAGAGAGAGAGAGAGAGAGAGAGAGAGCACGTGACTCTGAAATGCTCCCGTTTATAGGACTGTGGTAGAATTAATTTATATGTATATAACAGTCTGGCGCAAATGAAAAAGGATTAATTTTGAATATTTTGTGAAAATTCATAACGCAAGTAAGTTAAGGCTAGGTATAGGTGTTTCTATGCAAATGAACTAATAAAGATATATAAGGGTTATACTTATTATTCAGAGAAGGTTAAAACTTATTTTCTAATACATAGCTGGTACTCTCGACATTTAATAGACAGTATATATTTTATGACGCCATTCTTCTTCACTACATGAGATTATATAGAACATCAACAAAATAGCTTCGGCGCAATGGCATATTCTTATTAAATTTACAAAAACAGGTTATAATTAGAAGCAGAATATTTCAAGGATTGAAGATATTACTGCACAAATATCGACAGTTAAATTGTTTAGTTACTCTTTGTAAAGTTTTGAGTTCAAACAGGGTAAAAATTTACAGTCCAGTGTACGTTTCCTTAATTTCTGATCAAATGAAAAAATGGATGGATTTTTGGAGCAATTTTATTTATCTTTAGAATATTTTCGAAGCATTATTCATCATTTATGCAGAATTAAATTGGATATTCTCTTGTGAGGAAGCTGTTTTGTTGATATGACTTTTACTTCAAGTAGTGAAGAATAATGACTCAAAATATGACGTTATAATTTCAACTGACTATAACATGTCTTGGGCACTAAGAATTTATAAGAAAATGTATTTAAACTTCTCCTTTATGATATATATATACCTCTTATGCATTATCTTTTAGCTCATTTGCATAGAAAGGCTTATACCTAGTCTTTACTCACTTGCAAAGAGGAGAATATTATCTAATTTATTTTTAATCTTGCTTGGGATGGAAGTTTCGCTTTGATATGAATTACGATGAAGAGTGAAAAATCCCCTCAGTGTATGGGTAATTTGGAATTCACATGGAATATTTCGTTCACAAATAATACTACGGCCAGAATTTTAATTCTTTATAATACATGGACAGATAAGGAGGACACTGATGAGAGACTTATAATCTTCAATGAGTTGCAAGATTCTCCATTTCTTTTGGCAATCAATTATATTTATAAGTAATTTTATAATTTGCTACAGATGTTGTTTCTTATGTAATTTTAAATTTTATTTTTAATGCAGATTCCTTTAGTGAAACAATCTGTAATCATAATCACACATTGAAACTCAAGCAGTCTACACTGTTATTTAAAAACCTCTACTGGTAAGCATATTTTTATGGATAATTTCAACCAGTATTTTAAAATTTCATGT